ATTGTAATGTTTACTCGATACAGTTGAAAATGTGTTAGTATTTTCAAGCGATGTCTTGTGTTTAATATAATTCCAAATAAAGCCTTTAGTTATATATGTTTTATCGAAGCAAAACGGTAAAATTGTTGTTAACAAATTAAGCCAAATGGCATTAACACGCACATGTTCTATTATATACAGGGTGTTCTCGTCTACACAATTTGTCAAAAAATACGACATATGAAAGAAAAAACACAACATTGTCTTTTCCACTTTCGCCAAAACATGACCTTAAAATAGTGTGGGAGTGATGCTGTGATCGTTAGAAATGATTAACTGATTACTTATCCACGAGTAAAGTACGTACCATTAAAAATGGAGGTGTTTAAACGTAAGATAACAGGGAAATGCTTATACGCATAAGATTTCGAATCTTTTCTCCTGGTGGGGAATATATGAATTTATCACAAAGATTTATTACTCGATCACCAGTTTAATCTACTTCATAAAATTTAGACTCTTGCTTTTTTATCGAATCGTCTATTGTTTTATAACTGAATACGTAATTTGATTATTACAATTTTTGTGTTATTATACAATAATCACACTAACTAAACTAACATAAGAAAATTTTTAATCAATTATATGCACTTTTTTATATAAATACATAAACTTTTAGGTACACAATTTAAAATGTATAATGCAATTGGGGCTTCTTAATAGTCTTTCTTACGTTAGACAATTTTACAATATAAACATTAGGTGTATAATAATCTATTAAAATTAAAACAGATACATTAAGACAGTTTAAAGTTATTACCAAACTCGTAAAAATTAATAACGTTTAATTAAACAACTGTTTTTCAGTTGTTGTAAACACAACTTTAAACACTTTCTCTCATGTTTTCCTTTTTTTATACTGTACAAATATTTAATTTAAATATGTTTTTTCATTATAAAGTTATCTTACTTTCACTGATATAAAATCCACTAATTCTAACTTCTATTAATAACACTTATTTTTTTTACATTAAATTAACTTTTCAGTGCCGGTCATATAACCAGCACATAGAAACTAGTAAAGTTTATTTATTATTAGTTGCTATTTACAGGCTCTTCCTGAAATAGCATGCAAGTAATTTTCCATAAATTCTTTTTGCAGTTATTCTTATTTACATAAATTAAGTATTTTTATCCATATTTAAACTGGTATTATTATTTATTTGTTCTGCCAGTTTTACTATCTTAATATATTTATAAAATTTTCATTTTATTATGTTACTTATTTTTAACCACTGTAACTGTTTCCTTCACTGTTTCATACTTGGTACTGATACGATGGTGGGTAACTGTTGAATTATACAATTTAGTTTTAATTGATTTTACATGTTTTCCTGAACTTATCTTTAGCTTTCGCTCAGTTTCTCAATATACTTTCTCTTATTTGAACAACTACCGCAAAAACTATACCCAACGTTATTTTTCTACCATACTCGTGTCAACTAAATCAGTGTGATAAGCCCTAAAAGTTTAATCATGTAGTAACACAAAAATTGCAATAGTTATAATAGGGACAAGCAGCTATAGTAATATAACGTAAATCCATGTTTCATTGTAATATTGCGAACATTACTTCTTTTAGTTGTATGTTCGCTGTACATTCAAATTTTATATTTCGTTGCATTTAAAAGTTCATATTTATTTTCACGGTTAACGCTTAATGTCCTATTCACACTTTTTAAATTTTTCACTGCTAAGGTGTGTTTACTCCTTTCAGAAAAACTCGAATATTTCCTTAGAAGTTATAACATTCAATTGGTATCAAATCTTGTGTATATTTTGCTATATCTGAACATAATAATTTTTGAAGTGTAACTTTTTCTGGTTCCAATTTACATCAAATAATAAATAGGTATTAATTTAGAGTAATGGAAAAATAATTTGCGATTTTTTTATTTTTAACATTTTTACATTTTACTGTAAAAATGTTAAAAAATTTATGTTGCTTTTACTGTTTATGGAGATAATTGCATGCTAATAATAAAGCTGATTTCATTTGAGAAATATGATTTGATGCTAATGTTAGTAAAATATTTTAGTGTAAGTTTGTTAAAATGGATTTTACATTAACAGAAATAAATATAAGAATTCTTATCGTTTAGATCCAAGATAGCGCTGTGAGTATGACTTTTCTGATATATTTGTAAAATATTCTATTCTTTTACTGTGTAACGTTCACTAATAAGAAGAGTTACATTATTTAATAAACTGTATCTATTATTTCTTGAAATATCTTTATTTTTTTGTAAATTTAAAATCTTAGAAATAAATATTTTATAATATCTGTACTCTACAAATTCTAAAAAAATTCATTGTATGTTTTTTATAAAGTTGCTATTAAAAATAAATCTCACACGAACATTTTTTTGATCGAAGCAGTAGATTCATTGCGATTAGAGGGTCGGCACCTCTTTAGTGCCTCGTCAGGACTGACACCACTGTGTCTTTAGGATAGACACAAAAACCGCAACTTTAGAATGTGCGCGATCGGTCACGTACGCGGCCATCAGATCCGGGAAGGAGACAACGTAAGAGACAGCGTACTAGAAGTGGTTAACTCGGATTCCAGGTTAATAAACAATAACAATTTAACTTCGACTGGAAGGATTATAAGATATAGGAACATAGACATCTCGGACTGATATATATATATATCTTCGGTTATGAAATCTAACTTTCACGAGAGAGACAGAGTTTACAGGCGGATAAATACCTTATAGACAAGTCGATGCTTCCTGAACTGATGATTAACCGACGGAATTCTTCAGATGTTCGATAAATTTTTCAGGAGTTCGAAGAGTCATCCTATTCGGATTGTTCAGATAACAGGCGCTTCAGGGGAAAGTATCTGACTGGCATAGAATGAATCTTGGAACTCAGGCGTAGCAGATATCCAAATGGTGATGCCGACCAAGGCCAGTATTATGGCACACTTAAAAAAATCCAGAGGATGCGAGCTTTGGAGGATGACTGACTGAATTTGTCATCGCTCTCCCTTGCTATTCTCGGTTCCTTCTGGGTTTTTTCCGTGAGGTCGCTGGAGTTTTTAGTACATCAGGACCAACAGTTAAAATTTCACTCGTGGGTTCCGGGTGACACTGAATGTGTCACCTCTAACAAGGAAACTAATTTGTGGAAAACTGTTTTAATTGTCTTTGACTAAATTTGTGTCCAAATCAAAATTCAACAAAAGTATTTTTTCATTGTACTAAATTCGTCTCTCACAATTTTCTATAATTTAGAACGGATATGCATTTCGAGCTCTCTGCTTCTCATCAATTCTAATCTTATTAACTTTATCGGTAAAAAACTATAAAGATATTTTATAATGTATTAAATTGTATTTAACATACGCATACAAAAAATTAAAAAAAAATAATTAACTAACAAATATTAATGATAATCACAGCTGGAATAACAATAATTAAAAGCGTGAGGTAAAACAAGTAAAACTAAAATAAATTGAACAAGTAAAACGGCTAGGTTGTATTTTGGACAAGACTATGTCTTCCAGACTCACTGCTAAGCAGAATCACTTTGACTTTTAAGGCAGGTATAGTTCTCATTCTCCAATCTTCTTTGGTATCTACTGCCTGTTTGTAGAAAATGTAGCCATTTTGAATTTTATTTCGACTAAGTTCTTGATCTTCTGAGTACCTAAAAGTCTGGGTTTTTTATGCGCGCATGATTTAGGTACCTAATATTCTGTGCCAAATTGCAAATCTTGACATGTACTTCTTCATACCACTAACTTGGTTACCCAGCAGGCAGAACGATTTTATAAACAAGACATAGTTTTGTAAAAAATTAGTAAATAAATAAATGAGTAAATTGTTACAAAATAATAACATAATATGTAACTGTAAAAATATAATATTTCTTTTAAAACATAAAATACATGAGACTTATTTTCTCTGGAATTCGGCTTCTTACAGAAATCCAGCTTCCTTATCAAATGTCACCGCACGCTACTGTATTTTAACAATATTTTTCACGTATCATTCCGTTTTTTCCTTCTATGTACGTTTTCTGTCCTAGGCCTAATACCTCGTGGCGTTTTCTTTGAGTCAAATTAATTTATGCTGAGGTTTCAAATGAATTATAGATATTGTTGCTGCAAAATGAATTTCAAACCAGTGGTGTAGAAAGGGGTTGCGATAGATGCGGTTCGCACCGGTTCCCTCGAAAGCCATAGACCAATGGGGACCCGAAAATCACAAAAAAAGACCGGAAAAATGTTTTACGGCAATCAAAACAATGCAAAAGTTGGTATTTGGCTGCAGGAGCTGCTGGGGCCGCTATTACACAGGAAAACTAGCTANACATTACTCAAAGAAACTTGTCAAAAAATTCTGCCGAAATACTTAAAACAGTAAACACAAGAATTTGTTAAACTCCTCTGCGTAATTCTTGGCTTTTAGTACTTGATGAAATTGGAAAATTGTTACATGTTTGCTTAATTGTCAATACACCTCTTTCAAGTGGTTATTAGAATAATTATAAGTTAAAAAATTATTAATGGAAAATAATTCAGCATTTTTTTTTAAATTACAGCAAGAACAACAAAACATTCAGAAAAGTAAGAGTAAGTTTTGATTTTTAATTTACTAAGAATAATATCATAATTTTTGGAAGAAATGCAAAATTTAGTATTAATTAAATAAAAATTAACACTTGGGTCAAAATGCAAGAAAAGTATAAATTTCATTTTTTCTTCAATAATAACGAACTGACTTTAATAGAATCTTAAATTTTAAGTAATAACTTAAAATATTTTATTTAATATTTATTTCATATATGAAAAAAATTACTTTTCGTATTAAATCTTGACTGCATATGAAATAGTTTACGTAAAATCTTTTAATTTTGATTTTTGAAAAAATATAGGGCTTATCAAATAGGATTTTGAACTTTAAAATTTGTATAGTCTTATTTGCAGTATAAAACAGTAAAACTTTTTTGATATGAAAGAAAAGTGTACGAAATTTTTTAACACAAATCACAAGTAGATCATATATACATCTCACGTTAAACGGCAGATATATAAACACCAGTCCAGTTGTCACATTATGGTCGCCATGCCTTGTGTAATGATGGAAACATCCTCATCAATCTAATGTCTTAAGTCTGGTATGTTTAAAAGGTATTGGTGGCAGGTAAACCCTATCTTTTACACACCCACAAAGTAAGAATTGGCATGAGTTAATGTAATGGGGATGTTGGAGGTTTCGGAAACAAAGTCATGTCGTTCTGCAGTGATTACCTATGCAACGAGGGAAAGCGTTACAGCTATAACAGTTAAAATTTCCACGATGCTTTGTTTTCACTTGTAGGTCAGGAAGACTTATATTTGCTTATATAACCATAGGAATTATTTAAAACGCCCATATTTTTTATTGATGGATTATTTTATAAAAAAGAAGTAGAAGATAACATTACTGGTAGTTTCACGTTTGTTTCTTTATAATTAGTTAATAATAGAAAATTTTACTAAAATTTTCAACATGATCGTTAAAGACATTTCAATTTTTAACTTTAAACAAACTTTAAATTATAAACAACGTAAAACTACCAGTTCACAAGTTTTTACAACTACTTAATGTGAAATGTTAGCTTATTGAAATAATATTTTTGAAAACACTGGTTATTCATTTCTTTACTTCTTATAACTAAAAATGCAACATTTGTTATTCTCTTATAAAGTTTTATACTTCTAGTAGGAATTGAATATACTTAATTTCACAAATAAATGAAAGTAATTGTATCGTTGGGTCTTCCATGTTAACTATTTTGTAACAAAATTATTATTAATTTATAAAGAATTGGTAAAAATGTGTTTTAAGACTTTCGATACCTTTGTCGATATACTATGACTGTTTCATTTCTCATTGTTTATGTCTTGGATTACGTTTAGTACATCGGACATAATAAGACAACCATGACGACAATCAGCAGCAAACACTTACACTTCGAAAACAATGGGACACAAGAAAGTAAATACAATTGAAAAACAAAACATAAACCACCAAACAAATACATTGTTTACTTTGTGTATAATATAATTTTATAACTCGTACTACACTATTCCATAAAGATTTATCTTACTATGATAATTTATTTAACACTAAATAAAGCGGTAACAGTATTCTTTACTTATATCAGTATTCGTTTAGATTTTATTCAGGATTTTTTTGTTTCAATAAAATTATAAGTTCAAAAAAATTTTTTTTTTTAATTTGGTTTTCTTCTGTTTTAATTTGTGCATTTTAATACCTTGAACTTCATAATGGATTTGGTTTCTCCATTAAATCAAGAGGAAGGGTTGGATGCAAAACGTAAAACTACTAGCTTACAACTTTGCATAATATCTATATAACACTTTATACAATAAAATTAAAATTACGTTAATAATATGTACGAATTTTCATAATTGAAGTTTATGCAATGCATAGTAGTTTATTTTGTTAAACACAAATTTCATTTCCCATGTTGCATATTTAATATTTTGTGATGACAATATTGGCAATTGAATGAAAACAAAATGGTTAATTACTATTTAGCATAAATAAGTATTTAGACTCATTTGAATACTGACTTTGCTCTTTCTCTTTATGTAAATTATAGTTTTATCTTTAAGTGATTTTGTTTAAGGTTAAATATTAAAACATTTAATGATCAACTTAAAGATTTTTAGTGAAATTTTCTAATATTAATTAATTGTAGAAAACAAATACTTATAAAATTTTGTTACTTGATATGAGTTCTAATACAAGATACTTTTCCATTTCAGAATAACCAAAGCATATTCTGGAACGAAAAAAAATTGTTTAAAATGATCAAATTGTTGTAATTTCATTGATTAATTAAATAAAATGGTTTAGAAATTCTGCAATCAAATTGTTTTCAATCTATTTACTTTTAAATTTCATCAATATTTCCAACAAACAAAAAAACTGTATTTATTATAAACTCGAATAAAATTGCAATTTATTGAATGGAGGTACTAAAAAAATACATACAAATCTTTACTTCACAATAAAAATGCAAATCATAAGACATATTTTCATTTATTTTATATAAATTAAATACAAACAACCAATACACATTAACACGAATGTAGTAGTAAAAGTATGAATTCAAACAGTTATTTGATATTTGTAATATATAATTTTTCTTAAATAAAACCGAATATTTAATGTGATTATAATAGTTTGAATGATTGTTACATTTTTTTTATTTTGTCTAATATAATACAACTCTTTTAAACTGAAAGTCAAATGGCACAGCAGGAAATCGTTATAGTTTTGTCTAGCAATCATTTCAAGCCTGAAAACTTTACTGATTTTTTACCGATGATTGCCCTGAATTTCCATATGTCAAGATGAAATGCTCATTTTCTGGAGTAAAAGACAATTAGAATTTAAACATCATTAGAAATCTACATATTAATAAGTTTTATAATAAATGATGTATGTGAGTAGTAATGATTCGATGCGCTTTGGAAAATACTTTTTAATTTGTATAGAAATTTAAATAAGAGATTTAAACGTTACTGGTTAAACCAGTCCTGATATAGGGAAAGTTCTGTTTACGTGACTGGATTGGTGTTGTGTTTTTTGTTCTCGTCATTATAAAGATATTATATTCTTTCATAGATGTTTAAAATAATTAAGAGGTTGCGGCCAACGTTTTCATCGCGAAAACGTGTACGTCGGTCGTTCTGCGCCGCCTTCCTGTAAGCATAGAGGTTTCACAATGGCGTTTGGAACGTCGAGCATGATTCTACTGACGTTCCAAATGCCATTGTCAAACTTCTAGGCTTACAGGAAGGCGGCGCTGAACGTCCGACGTACACGTTTTCGCGATGAAAACCTCTCTAATTTATTTCTGAACAAACGAATAACTTATAATATTTTTAAATTACAGTATATCAAAAACGTTTTGATTTATTTTATTTTCGATAAAAATACTGTTTTTAATATAATTAGTTTAATTATTTAAACATGGAATTGACTCTATAATTATGATAATTATATAAACCATACTTGTACCCAGCAGAATTAAACAAATAAAAAACTTAAACCAATACCTTAATATTCGCTGAGAGATTTTGAATGTAACAAACGTTTTCGATCTATTCGATAGATCATCTTCAGGTTAAAAAAAATATTTCTTGAATGGAACAACAATTTCAAAATTCAAAAATATAAATAACCAATAACAATTCCATTAATAAGAATAACTAATACATTGTAAATATTACAAAAATGTAAAATAAATAACGTATTACTCGTATTAAATATTAATACAGTAGAGCGTCGATTACCCGAAAGTCAATCTTCTGACATGTCAATCATCTGAAGAAATTCCAGTCGGCAAATTTAAATTTTTGCCAGTATTGTGGCGCTGCAATATTTGGCTATGTCTTGGGCTACTCAAATATTTTACATTTTTGATACTGAATTAACATCTGAAGTATTTATTATTTTTATATTTTTCAATATATTTATTTTGTTCGTACAAAATAAAAAAATAATTTTTAACGATACAATAGTCTTCGTTAGGCTTCGACGAAAATTCAACGCGAAGCGACACGCAACGGATAAAAATGTCAAGATGGGATAAATTAATATATTTTTTCGTACATAATCAATTATCCGAAACATCGATCTTCCGAACAACCCCAGTCCCCAATTGATTCAGATAATTGATGCTCTACTGTACTATCTATCCTAACTAGACATAATTTCCTGTAAAATATACTAGTGTTCATGCGCCTCTTGTAAGTTTTTAACGGCATATTTCCAAGCTGAAGGAAGACCCTCTGCGTCCCTTGCGTTAATGCATTTTTCTTTTAGCTTGCTTCTGTAAATTTCTATCTTTTCAGCTGTTCTTGCCAAAGTTGGGGAGTGTATCTGTTTTATGATTTTCGCTTCATTCCATCGAACCAAGGATTCTTCCGCTTGCGCCATCTAGGCTAGTACTATTGTATTAAAACCTTTTCTAATATCTTACTTGTGTTTTTTGATCCTTATTCCTAGGTTCCTAGTAGTAATCCCTACATACTCTTTATTTATACCTATTAGCTGGTTTTCGTAGGGAATCTTATACACACCCGCCTTATCTTCTTTTTTCTAACCCTTTATCGTTTCTAAGTATTTTATACAAATTTGAAGCTCTTTTTAAGATCACCCTTGTATCCTTTTTATTTGCTATTTCTTTCATAATACCTCCTAAATACTTGTTGTAAGTAAATTTCCTGTACCTAGATGGATCTTGGGTAGTGCCTTTATCATTACTGGCCTCAAATTTTCTAATAATTCCCTCGATAACATTCCTCTTATAACCTAATGTTTCTGCTATCTGTATAATTATTTCTATCTCTATATCCCGGTCTATAAAGGATACAAGGGATCTTAAAAAGAGCTCCGAATTTGTATAAAATACATAGAAACGGTAAAGGGTTAGTTAAATAAGAAGATAAGGCGGGTGTGTATAAGATTCCCTACGAAAAGCAGCTAATAGGTATAAATAAAGATTATGTAGGGGTTACTACTAGAAACCTAGGAATAAGGATCAAAGAACACAAGTATGATATTAGAAAAGGTTCTAATACAACAGTACTAGCCCAGATGGCGCAAGCGGAAGGATCCTTGGTTCGATGGAATGAAGCGAAAATCATAAAACAGATACACTCCCCAACTTTGGCAAGAACAGCTGAAAAGATAGAAATTTACAGAAGCAAGCTAAAAGAAAAATGCATTAGCGCAAGGGACGCAGAGGGTCTTCCTTCAGCTTGGAAATATGCCGTTAAAAACTTACAAGAGGCGCATGAACACTAGTATATTTTAAACGAAATTATGTCTTGTTAGGATAGATAGTATTAATATTAGGTACGAGTAACACGTTATTTATTTTACATTTTTTATAATTTACAATGTATTAGTTATTCTTATTAATGGAAATGTTATTGGTTATTTATATTTTTGAATTTCGAAATTGTTGTGCCATTTAAGAAATATTCCTTTTAACCTGAAGATGATCTATCGAATAGATCGAAAACGTTTGTTACATTAGAAATCTCTTAGCGAATATTAAGCTGTTGGTTTAAGTTTTTTATATGATAATTATGTTTTTATTGTTATTCTTCAAGAATGTAAGCACATTTCTTATTAAATATAAATTTTATATACGATTTATCGAAATACGTTTAATTAATTCAAAATATTTGCGATTGATGGCGGTTCAAGAATGTAAGCACATTTCTTATTAAAAATAAATTTTATNTTAAGTTTTTTATATGATAATTATGTTTTTATTGTTATTCTTCAAGAATGTAAGCACATTTCTTATTAAATATAAATTTTATTTATAACTAGCTGCAAGGACCCGCTTCGCTGGGTTTTTAAAAAGTAACAATAGTTTAGATTAAGATTATTACATTATAGCCAATCTTACCCGTTTTCACAGATTGCAAGAATTAGGTCTCCTGTTTCCAGACGTTTCCAGAGAATTTATACATGAGCATAAATATATGTTCGATTTCCCGCAAAATCTCAAAAAACCGCCTGTAAATCTTGCATGCCGCTTTATATTAACACTTCCTGGTCGCGATTCTATTTCTGAACGTCTCCTGTTCACATCCAGTCAAACGAATTATTTTCAACGTTTCTGGAATGTTTACGATCGTTCTATAATCGAACCAATATTCGAATTTTATGTTCGAATTTAATTTGAATATTGTTCGAATTTGTTCTTACAAATTCGAACAATATTCAAATTAAATTCAAACATAAAATTCGAATATTGTTCGAACAAATTCGAACATTGTTCTAATTAAATTCGAACAAATTCGAACAAAACATTCCAAATAGAAAGCCACTTTAAACCACTTTCAAGCCCATATCTCCCGCACCCTTATAGCTATCGAACCATTTTCATGCTTAATGATAAGTTCCTTTTTTATCTTAATTGTCAATACTACAACCTTCATTTTTCTACACAATTGGGTGCCATAGCACTGAAAACATGAGTGTAATGCAAGAAAAACTTTCACAGTGATAGCAAGAGATGACTTGAGTGTACTACATATGACATTTATGCAGTGAGTGCATTTTTTCACAGAGTTCAAACATAGAAGCATTGTTTGAACTCTGGATCAAATTTTTCTTGAATTTATTTTTCAAACTCTGAAACATTGTTAGTTTTTTCAAGTATGAGGTACCATTGTATTATTATAATTAAATATTTTTTGTAACTTTTCTAAATTTTTTAATTAAAAAGAACATTTAAAATTTTAAGCGATAATTTTTTGAAATTAATTTTGAAAGATTTTATTTCAACTTTTAATGTATTCTTTTTGAAATGTTTTCTATTTCTTTATGCCATCATAACTTATAAAACTATTTGGATCTGCTTCATTTTAATCCATCAATTATTATTGGATCATTTTAAATTTGTTATTCAATAAAAATTTTATTTTAATTATAAATAATCACATAAATTTACACTATATTTTTCCACTTGAAATATAAAAATAATTATGATAATATTGAATATTATTTAAAATATCTTCACAGTATTATTGCTGTTTACTGTATTATTCAGAAATAAATCACTCAAGCAATAAAAACATAATTTTATTCAAATGCTCACAGATTACATATTCTGCATACATCAGTTAAATATACCATTATGTACAGTACTCTTTTTTGTGTTTATATGTGTACTATCATAACACATCAATGTGACAGATGTGATCTGTAAATAAATGTTAGAAGGAGCATTGTGATCTATTTGAAAATTCATTATTTTAAACTGCTGCTTTCTTCATGCATATTTTTTCTTATGTTCTGCTGTATGAGAAACTTGTGTAAGATAATTATTAAATT